GGCTTGATAGTGAGGAAGTGGAAGCTGCATCACACCACTCAAGGACTACCTAGACAAGTCCGTCCCTCAAAACTCAGCCCAAACACAAGAGTGGAGAGTGAGAGTGGAGTGAACATGCACCAGACAACCATTTCAAGAACTCTGCATAATTGAGGACTGTATGGGAGGGTGATTTCTAGAAAGAAATCATTGCTCAAGAAGAGCCTTATGAAAGCATAAGACTGACCCAGTGAAGATGTGTTTTTGGTGTGGTGAGACTAAAACTGAGACACTGTATTTGGGCAGGTTTCAAAGCATTATGTTTGGTGGAACACTAACACAGGTCAAACCTCAATTAGCACCAGTTAATCCCTATAATGAAATATGGTGGTGGCAGCTTGCTCTGGTGATAATGCTCTGGTGATGCTTTTTTTATCCTCAAAACCTTTTGTCAAAATTGATGGAAGAATGGATGGAGCAAAATTCAGGGGATATTACAAAAGAACCTGCTTCAGTCTGTTATATAAAACTAAAGCATGGGAGAAACTTCACCTTTCAGCAGGACAGTTGTCCCAAACACAAGACCAAAGCAACATAAGAGTGGTTAAAAACAAAAAGGCGAACGTTCTACAGTGGCCAAGTCAAAGTCTAGCTCTGAATCCCTTTGAGAGTCTGTGGCACTGTTTGAAAATTGCGGTCCACAAACAACATCTAACCAACCAGAAGAACCTGGAACAAATCTGCCAGGAAGAATGGTTGAAAATCACACCTTCATAGTTGGGATGGTGTTCTTCAGATTAAAAGCTTCATATATAGTGCTGATCATTATGGCCAAACAGTTCAATTATTGGTTCATCTGAGCAGAGTAGTAGAGACTTCTTCCTTATGTGAAAGCCTTTCAGGCCATGGAGATGTAGGAATATATGAATGGTGGCTGTACATACTTTGTTACCTGATGCCTCCAATTCCTTCACCACTTCCTTTGTAGTTTGTACAGATGCTCATGGTACCTTCAGTTGTTTGGAAATTGCTCCTAAGAAGGAATCGGACTTGTGGAGGTCCACAACTCTTTTCTGAAGTTTTGGGGAAGTTGGTTGGATTTTCCCATGGTATCAAGGGCAAAAAGGTACTGTCTCTAATAATAGACTCTTTTACAGCTACAGGTGCACACCCAGTTCACTCTTAATTATGACAGTTGGCCAATCAGAAGCTTCTAAAAGCTGTTACATCAATTTCTGGAATCTCCCAGACTATTTTAAGAGGCAGTGGAATTCTTATATAGTTAATTAAAGCAGATACAAATCTGTCTCTAATAGATTGTTTTAAAATTACAGCTGATATGAACAAAGTAGATACTCTAATTTGACTTGGCAAAAGAAATGTATGGTAAAATGAAATGCATGGAGTGGTAAAAAGCTGAGATTGAATATCTTTAGCCTAGATAAACTGTATGTAAACTTTTGGCCTCAACTGTAAATGTACCTGGAATTTTAATATCTTTATTTATAATATTTTTATTCATGTATTGTAAGCTACAATTAGCATTTGCATTTACATGTATTGTATATAATTTTGTTAATTTATAGTATTTAAAACCTAAATGTGTTATTTGTCACATCTGCTGCTTAAGGTCAAGTTAGTTTCAGCCTAAACATTTACCTTTATTTTGAAAGTTCTAACCTCTGTTCTCATTTCAGATAGCTTCACTTCCTGTTTTCTTCCTGTGTGACTACGGCCCCGCCCTGATGTGGTTCACCTGTGTCTGATTGTCTCCTTGTGTATTTAAGCCCTGTGTTCCATGTCTTAGTTGCTAGTTCGTCCAAGCTCCTTACTGCCTAGCGGTCCAGCCTTTTCTCAGTGAATCTCTGGTGACTTTTGTTGAGCTAATTTCCTATTTAGCTTTGCCTTTTTTTGATCCTGATTCAGTGTTTGTGATGTGGAAAAATCTGCCTGAATTTTTTAGATCTTTTGTACCTTTGGGACCTTAATCTTCAGTAACCTTTAATCTTTTGAACCACCAGCTGTGTACTGAGTTGTGCATTTGGGTCCAGTTATCTGCTCCAAGTTGTGATATTATTTACATTTCTCAAGAAAGTTTATTACAGTAATAATTCTGTTTAATTTAGTAATAATTGCTGTATTTAAACTCAGGTGACATCCTGTTTTACCTGCTGAGCAACTCCTGTAATTCTGTAGTAGCTGCAAAAGACTGCAGTAAAGCATTTACACAGCAGGAGAGACTGCAATTCGAAAGCCCTCTCACACCTGCAAGTATGAGTGATTGCATTACATATACATTTGTACAATTCATGCATATTTACTCTCTCCTAGTTATTAAGAAATATACTGTTACATATAAATCCAGAATATTAAACAAATTCTTCCTCCAATGTAAAGTGCAATGTGGAGGCAACATAAAGTGAATATAAAAAGTCTACATATACCTATGGCAGGTTTTGTGGTGTAAAAAGTGAAATCAAGATAAATCATGTCAGATCTTTTTCCACCTTTAATGTGATATAGCAACCAACCAAATTAAAAAACAAATTCCTTTTTCTTTAAACAAATTCCCATTTTTTAGGAATAAAAAAGAAAAAGAAAAAACTTGCAATAAATTGGTTGCATATGTGTGCAGACCCTTTTATAATGGGGAATGTGACTGTGTTCAAAATGAACCAATCACATTCAAACACATTCAGAAGTAATTACCATACAGCTGTCATCAATTAAGTGATTCTTATTAACCCCAAATAATGATCAGCTGTTTCTGTAAGATTTTTTTTTTGACATTTTCTTGGTTTCATCCGACTGCTGAAGCCATGGTCTGCAAAAAGCTTACAAAGCATGTACATTGTCGAAAGGTTAGGGGGTACAAAAGAATTTACAATTTCCCTGTGACAGCAATCTCTTGTATTCTTCAAATATCTGGATGCCCTTTCTCATGAAAAAAAAATCATGTAGTAAAATGTGTTACGGTCTGTCGAGACCAAATTAGAACTTTTTGGGCATAACTCTAAAATATATGTTTGGCGCAAAAACAAGACAGCTTCTCCCCGAAGAACACCATACCCACTATGAAGCATGCTGGTGGCAGCATCATGCTATGGGGCTGCTTCTCTTCAGCTGGAACCTCTAGTCAAGGAATCATGGATTCTCCATATATCAATCTATTTTGGCACAAAACCAGCTGAAGATGAAGACAAATTTCACCTTCCAGCATGATAACGACCCAAAGCAAAAGTTCAACATTTTTGAATGGCGCAGTCAGAATCCAGGTCTAAATCCTATTGAAAACCTGCGGAATGACATGAAGAGGGCTGTGCACAGGAGATTCCCTTCGCAATATAATAGATCTGGAGCATTTCTGCAAGGAAGAGTGGAATAAAATTGCCAAATTCAGATGTTAAGTTGGGAGACTCTTACCCAAAAACACTGAGTGCTGTATTACAAGCACAAGGTGCTTTAACATAGTATTAGTTAAGGGGCATGCACACTTACATAACCAGGTTATTGTAAGTTTTATTTTTTTTCCCCCTAAAATGATTCTATTTGTTTTTCATTATAATTTTATTGGTTGCTGTATCACATTACAGGTGGGAAAAAGATCTTGGTTTCATTTTTTAACATCACGATAACCTGCAGTTAGCAGTTTTATACTTTTTCTATCCACTTTATGATGTTAAAAAAGAGACAACTCACCTACGGCTCTAGTTCTGTTGAAAGAATCAGATCTGGACCAAGCCATTCCCATCTAAAACAACAACAATAATAATAATAAGTAGGTTACAGCTGGAAGACAGAGGCAGTATAGAGGAGAGTTTATTTGATGGTACCTAGCAACAGTATTGTTACAGACATTTAACCTATACAAAATGTTAGCATTTGTGGTTTTTAATGAGTCATTGAAATAGGAAAACATTCATTCAAAATAAAGAACAAATCACAATGAAGAAAACACCATCATTTAGCATTATTCATTTCAGGGCTAGAAGTATAGAATGATTAAAAAAAAAAAAGCAGAGAACTGTGTGGTAACACAACTCAAACTGCACCGATGTATTTTAAGGATGAATCTTTTCTGAATGCACAGATTCTCTGTGATGGATCTTAATGTAGCATGACTTATGTCTACTCTCTAATACATTTAGCAATAGACTTAGCAATAGCTTTAGCATCAACACGTTCAGGATTACAACGAACAAATTAGGTTATTTATAACCTCATTAAACAAAATGGTGTGAAATTAGACACTGACCTGCATTGAAGCTTTCAGACAAAGTGGTGATACACTGACCTGCTGTAGTGTAAACTTTACTCAAAGCGAATCTTAACCAGGAACGAAACACTTTCACTTTCACTTTCGATTCATTCCTAAGTTTCTGTTCTAGGCGGAGCAACAACCTGTCCAAAATGCTATCCAAAACCTGTCTAAAACCTGCTCTCCTCCTGTAAGTCCATCACAGGGTGTGTCTCTATAACCAATGACGAGATCTACACACTATCTACACATTATCTACACTTTACTAGGCTATTATTTAGTAATATAATGCGTCACGCGCACTTTGCTTTCTCACGTGCGTTGCAACAAAACCATAGCAGATCCTACCTCTTTGTGTAATACATACGCATATACAGTGGATCTAAAAGGTCTACCCCCTCCTCCCCCCTTAAAATTGCAGGTTTAGTGTAAAAAACGAAAAAACCCTCTTCAAGTCATTGCACAGGTTTACAATAGGATTTAGATCATTCCAAAATGTTGATCTTTTTCTTTTGAAGCCAGTCCTTGTTGACTTGGATTTGTGCTTTGGGTTGTTATCGTGCTGGAAGGGGACACTTTTCTTCATCTGAAGGTTTTGTACCAAAACAGAAGAAGAATAAACCTTTCTTTGTCACTTTACAGGACAGTGAAATTCCTTTCTTCACATATCCCAGCTTGTTAGGAAGTTGGGGTCAGAGATGATACAACACCACTGGAGCAGAGAGGGTTAAAGGCCTTGCTCAAGAGCCCAACAGTGGCAGCTGGGCAGTGCAGGGGCTTAAACCCTCAACCTTCTGATCAGTAACCCAGAGCCTTAACCATTGAGCCACCACTGCCCTAGCTTGATATTTGGAGCTATCCATGATTCCACTATCTTGACTAAAGTGCCAGTCCCAGCTGAAGAGAAGCAGCCACACAGCATGATGCTGCCACCACCATGCTTCACTGTGAGTATGGTCTTCTTTGGGTAATAAGCTGTCCTATTTTTGCACCAAACATATCTTTTAGAGTTCTACCTTGGTCTCATCAGACCATAGGTTTGGGGTGATTTAGGTGGGCTTGGATGATTTTTTTTTTTTTTTTTGTGAGAAGGGCTTTCGTGTAGCCACTCTACCCCATAGCCCAGACATGTGAAGAATATGAGATATTGTTGTCACATGCAAGGAGTAAGCATTACTTGTCAGATATTCCTGCAGCTCCTTTGCTGTAGGTGTCTCAGCAGCCTCCCTGATAAGTTCTTCTCTTGTCCTTTTGTCAATTTTGGAGGGATGTCCTGTTCTTGGTAATGTCACTGCGATTCCCCATTTTCTCCACTTGTTCCATGGCACGTTGAATGTTTTTGAAATGTTTTGTACCCCTCTCCTGATCGATACCTTTTGAGATCTCATAAATGCTTTGTATAAACTCTTTTACAGAAGCTCTTTGGCTTTTAGCAGTCAGATGAAACCAAGAAGATGCCAAGAAATCCTACTGAAGCAGCTGGTCTTTATTTGGGGTTAATCAGAATCACTTAATTGATGACAGGTGTATGATAATTATTTTTTAACATGAGTTTGATTGCGATTTGTTAAATCTGAACACAGTAACATGCCCCATTATGAAAAGGACGTGCGCACTTATGCAAACTGGTAATTGTACTGTTCTCACATTGGTGGCATCCATGAAAGAAGTTTGACTTCCCCACCTCCCACATCCCAGTTTAACTTCTGCTGACATACAGGATCTGTAAACTCTAGATCACTTCATTTTTTATTAAGTAACAAGAGATGTTCAACACCCTAAATCTTAAATAAGGTAAAATCTCAAGAATAATAGTGTGGTGAGCAACAAACTTCAATTGCAGTGTACATGCTCAGGAAAAAGGGTACTAAAATGTGCCTTTCCTTTTCACTTAGGTACATCATTTGTACCTTTAGTTTCCAGTTTAGTTTAGTTTCTATATGGTAATGTGAATGTAGCATACCTTTAATAATGATTTAAGATACTTAATTGGACCTTAACAACCACCCTTGTACCTTATATTAGCTTTTAGAATGATGTACTACATTCTATTTGCTTTTTTTTTTTTTTACTTGAATTTGGTTGTGTGCTTTGTTATATTAAAGGTGGAAAAAGATCACTATATGCTTTCCAGGTAAAGGACACACTAAAGGTACAAACGACCTACTCTTGAGCATACCACATCAGTGAAAAGGAAAGGTACAGTTTAGCTTTTTTTTCTAAGGTTGTATGTGTTACAAACACTTCACAAAACACAAGAGCCTTTCTTTTCAAGCAGTCTTTTCAAGAGCCTTTCTGTGCAAGCAGTCCCAGGCACATACATCATGGTTGTGTTAATCATAACCAAATGTTTGCAGTGTTTTCACCATCATTTGTTGTTTTTCTACAGCTTATTGTGCACAAATGTGTTTTTCAGGAAGAAGCCCTGTAGTATGGTCCAAACATGGCATTCCACATCTGCTGCCAGAGTCCATACAGCCGGAGGATCCATGGATAAGCTGAAGGCAAAGCTGTGGATTAAGGATATATGCTTTTGAATATGCTTTTTAAACCAAACACAACAAGGTATGCTTAAAAGAAAATACTATGTGGGCAGGAAGTTTCATTCTTAGGGTAGTAACACAGGATATCAACTTAGCATGAGCATTCAAAACACAGTTAATAAAAAAAACTGAAATGAGTTCTGCCTTTGGAAATATTATCACACGACAAATAATTTATACTTATTGGGCCTCATTTATCAACAAGAAATTTGGTATTCATGAAAAGACTGTTAGTTCGGTAAAATATTCATATCCTATGAGAGCTCCTGAGATGTAACTGAAGGAGATTCAGTAATGTGAACCATTATGGTTTAGCTTCAGATTGTAAAACTAGCATGATTTACTGCAAATTGTGTCTTTCAGTAAAAAAAAAAAAAAAAAAAAAAAAAAAAAGGAGCCACAGGACAGATTTTTTAATATCGAAGTTGTGTTTCTCATTCAAAAATAGTGTTTATGTCTGGTGTATTTCCACCTGGTGCATTTTCTAACATTTATTCTTTTTGAGTTGACTTAATAACAGCACATGGACTTTCCTGACACTTGCTTGGATGCCTGTGAAAGACTTTTTCTTTCTCTCTCTCTCGCCCATGCAGTTGCATTTATTTCTTCTAAATATATAACTTTGTCTTATTTTAATTTGCTGTCTTGACTCCTTTATGTTGCTTCTATTGAGCCAGGGTTTTAACACTGAAAACATTTTGATCCAAATGGATGATTTATAATATCTTCTTCATAATATCTTTATAATAAATGTCTCGAATAATTTTTCAAATGAAACACACAGTATAATCAAGACTCTATTTCTTACAATCTCTACTGACATGCAGTCATCGGTTAATTTTGGTATGCTTAACTAAGACACAACAAGCAGTTGTCCAAATTATTTTTCCAAATATGTATCAGCTGCATGTCTTACCTCTTTCTTTCTGGAGCAAGCTGAGGCTGACATGCACATTATCTACAGTCATAGTTTATATTAGTCTTTTGAGATAATCTCCTCACCTGGGTCCATACGTATGAGCAGCAGGTAGAGCAGGAATAACAGAACAGCAGTTCTGTGAATAAAGCGTGACCAGGCAGTGACACCCGCCAGAGACAGTCCTCTGTACAACAACCTCATAACAGCATTCAACTTCCGGACCACTGACCCTGAAACAATATGGAGTAATTTAATTAAAATAATCTGGAATGAGATGTTCAAAAAGTACATATGAGTGTGATGGTTAGGTGTCCACAAACTTTTGGCCATATAGTGCATCTTTCTATTAGTTACTGAATATTACATTTACATTTATGGCATTTGACAGACGCCCTTATCCAGAGCGACTTACAAAAGTGCTTTGAAGTCTATCAAAAATACATTCTGATACTGGCTCACTAGGTCACAAACCAGGAATACCATCAGTCCAAAAACTCTGCTGGGGAGGTAATAGACTAGCGCTGAGACAATACATTTTTTTTTTTTTTTTTTTGGTAAGTGCTAGTTTGAGTACTTCAGGAAGAGTTAAGTCTTTAGACGTCGTTTGAAGACTGCGAGTGACTCAGCTGTTCGGACATCTAGGGGAAGTTCATTCCACCCCCTTGGTGCCAGAACAGAGAAGAGTCTCGATGCATGCCTTCCTTGTACCCTGAGAGATGGTGGGACCAGTCGAGCAGTGCTAGAGGATCGGGGGAGGGGAGCATGGTGCCATGCGAGGTGTGATAAGTGCTTTGAGATAAGTGGGTGCTGGTCCGTTTTTGGCTTTGTAGGCAAGCATCAGTGTTTTAAATCTGAATATTATGATTTAGGATGAAAAACTGAACAATGAGCCAGGATTAGAGTGAATAAGCTTCATGTACAAAACATTTATACTCTACTAACAGATGATTCCGCAGTTGTGATGCCATTTAGCCCTTTTTTCATTTTTCAACATTGAATCTAACAAATCATGAGTGTGTTAACCCATCTCAGACAAGAATGTTGTTTTCTACAAGGTTTTTTCTCTGACACTGGCAGCATTTTGCTTTTAAATAAGAGGCTTTTTTGTGTAAATTTAGCAAATACACAAATTGTGGTTAACTAGCATCCATGCTGATGGCATGCGGAAATTAACAACGTTCTAAAGTCTTACTTAAAACGTTGTTAATTTCCGCATTATTTAATTTGGGTAACAGGTCTGTACATTCTACATGCCCTCATCAGTCAATATCACAATATCATTAACAAAACCTTTTTTTCTTTCTTAAAAAGAACTTAATTTTCTTCTTCTTTCTTCTGATCTCCAGGAAATTCAAATGATGCAACTTCCTGCTTAACGTGGAATATTCCAAACATTTCATAGGGGTGAATGTGTTCCGGTAACACGAGTGAGGAAATGTTGCAGGACATTTTTCATAACCTATAATGGATGAGTCATGGAAAATGATATTTCAAGCTTGTTATATGGATTCACATATTAATGCAAAAAGAATTTTAAAGATTTTAATGATTATGTTTGGATAAGGTGTAGTTATAGTGTGCTGGGAGAGGCAAAATTTACTGTTCTCCGTGCTTTATATAAGTTATTTATCTAAAATATAAACATAGGTTATTGTAAAGGACACTTTACCCGTGTTACATTTATATTTTACATATTTGTAAATGTAATATCAATGGGACAAGAATGACCTAAAGCCTAAGTGTGGAATCACCCTCACTGTTATTTAATATTACAAAACAAACAATACCTTGAGGTATAATCATTTTCTCTGCCTCCACAGGGATGGGATCAGGGCTTGGACATGAATGGTTCATCTTTCTAGCGTCATGATTCTCGAGTATTGTAAGTGCAGTTTGTCTCTGATCCTCAGTAAAGGCAACCTGTCCCACTTCATCCTTCAGCAGCTCCTTGGCCTCTGCGGTTTGACCCAGTGGCAGAAGAACATGCAGGATGTAGAGCTCGGCCACGCTGCTGTAACCTGACAGACTCGTGTTCGAGGAGCAGTGCAGCCAAGTTCGCACTGCCTCCTGCACTGCTGCCTGCTCAGACACCTTGGTGTAGAGAAGAATGCTGTGAATATAGATCGAACAGCAGTTGAACATGTTGGCCGCTGCTATGTGATAGAGCTATATTATTATAGCTATATTATAAAGCCAGTTAGACTGAACAGGATAGATTGCATGTCTCTCCAATGCAACACACATCTAATTTATTATCCTTACTCTCTCCTGCTTGCATGAAGCTCATTTGATGAATACAATTATCTCAGTTGGTTGCCAAAGACATGGGAAATGCAACTCAATTGAAAAGAAGAAATTATTTATTATACTAGATT